CAGTTTAAGTTACACAGATTTTGAAACAAAATATTGAAAAACTACTGTCAGCTTCTATTACAAGGAAATATTTATTTATTTATTTATTTATTTATTTATTTATTTGGAGACAGAGCCTTGCTTTGTCACCCAGGCTGCAGTGCAGTGGCGCAATCTTGGCTCACTGCAACCTCTGCCTCCCGGGTTCAAGTGATTCTCCTGCCTCAGCCTCCCCAGTAGCTGGGATTACAGGTGCCCGCCACCACACCTGGCTAATTTTTGTATTTTTGGTAAGAGGAGGTTTCACCATGTTGGCCAGGCTGGTCTCCAACTCCTAACCTCAGGTGATTTGCCGGCCTCAGCCTCCCGAAGTCCTGGGATTCCAGTTGTGAGCTGCCGCGCCCAGTGGGGACCTTATGTTTAAATAACCACACTTGCTAGTTCAGGATCAAGTCAACCAAGATAATTCTGACATCCTCACGGCATTCGTGCCATGTGGGCACATCCCCATCCCATTATTCCATTCCCCTGCCATGAATTCACACACTGATGTGTCCTCTGTCCGGTTAGCCAGGATACATCCCAAGAGGGCAGTGGGGGATAAACCTGGTTAGGGCAAGAGGAGGAACGTGGGACCAAAAGGTCAAAGCAGGGCAGGGAGCTCAGAACAGAGAGGCCCTCAGTAAAATACAATAGTGCCTGACGTTACCAGAAGCAATCATTGTGCCTAAGCTGGAGTAAACTGTTCACAGTAGAAGCTAGTCCACCCACCCCAAAGGAATTCCATCTCTGCTCTTTGATCTGTTTTCTCTTGCTCCATTGAATAAAGGCTGGACCACCCAGATGGAAAGCAATCAGAGAGACTCCGTTCATTGGGTAGATGACCACTCCGTCAAAAGCAGAATTTTTTGCAGAGTGGTTGGTCTTGTCTCCATCATGTCTCCCTCTTCAAAGAAATGATGAGGAAAGATCATGAAGTAGGATCCTACAAATTTTCTATTAAGGACTCTTTTGAAAATCTGAACATAGTCCCACGTCAACACCAGAGAGAAACATGGGATGGCTTGTTGTGGATATCCTAGATCTCCATGACAATTACATACAGTTTCACGGCTGTGCATGTTTTCACAGCTGGAGGCCATTGTTTCCTGACTGAAATAGAGAACACCTGCCTTCTCTGTTGGGTTCTTTCCTTTGTCTCAATTTTTGCTCTGTGGTTTTTTAACTTGAGTTCATTTTCTTCCCCAACAGCGGTGCAGTGGTGAAGGCACGGGATAAGTACCGGCACCCTGAGTGCTTCGTGTGTGCTGACTGCAACCTCAACCTCAAGCAAAAGGGCTACTTCTTCATCGAAGGGGAGCTGTACTGCGAAACCCATGCAAGAGCCCGTACGAAGCCCCCAGAGGGCTACGACACGGTCACTCTGTATCCCAAAGCTTAAGTCTCTGCAGGCGGGGCACGCACGCACGCACCCACGCACACTTACACAGGAAGACGCCCACGGCTTTGGGCAGAAGGATTGTGCAGATGGTCAGCTCCAAATCTGAAGTCAAGGCTTTAGACCTTTATCCTATCGCTTATTGAGGAAAAGGAATGGGAGGCAAACGCCTGCTAGGTGACAAAAACATACACTTCGCTATGTTTTGCAACCCTTTTTGTCTGGGGCTAGCAATAACGATATTTAAAGCAATAATTTTTTGTATGTCATACTCCACAATTTACATGTATATTACAGCCATCAAACATGTAAACATCAAGATATTTGAAGAAGTCTAATTGTCTTTCCTTGACAAGTTGATTTTGCAATTGTGGTAAATACCAAATAACAATCTTGTATTCTAACATAATCTGCAGTTGTCTGTTTCTGTTTTAACGATTACAGTGCATGTTAGGGAGAAAGTCCCTGAATTTCTTTAGTTTTATATTCAAACAATTATGCCACTGGATGCAACAAACATAATAAATACATAAAAGATTTTAAAAATACCTAATGAAGTGGCATTCATTGAATTCAAATAAAATCAACATTTCAATGAGAGAACCCAATCATATTTTAACATGTACACTAATAAATATTTTAAGATAAATGTGGTTTCTTCTCATTACTCTTATGAGCACAAAATTTCTGATGATAGGCGAAGCACTGAAATTTGCTAAAGGTAATTCAGTCTCTTTCAAATTAAAAGTTTCACTTGCTTCAACAGAGTCTCTTTCAATTTAAATATCTCTTTCAGATCAATAGTCAGATTGAAGGTTCAAAGTCCATCACGGCTGTTTCTCAGGCTCAATGGTTCACCACCTCCTCCTCTTCCCAAGATGGCATCTCCAGGAGGAAACAGTTTAGAGGACTTCCTAAGGAGGGCAGGGGGTGCTGGTCTCCTGGGGTCCTGCTTGTATCCACTGTTGAAATCCTTGGTTTCACTTGTGATCTGTGGTCTGTTTTCTTGACATAGTTGGGGCCAGGCAATAATCCCACCTCCACTGCCACCTCCAAAACTCTCAGCTCAGCTTTCCTGGAGTCACGGATCATCTGTCTGAGACATGCACTCCGCCTGGCCCTGGAGCAGGCAGCCTACCTTGCAGGCTCTGCACCGTGTTACCTTGCCTGTCACCCAGGGTGGCCACAGGGGAATGCCCCTGACTTGCATCTCTCACCTACTTTCCATGTTCCCCATTGGGGACATACAGGAAATTCTGAAACTGTTCCCTCAGGTTCAAACCACGGGGAACCAGCAGGGTGAAGACCCTCAGACCCTCTGTCTCACTACCTTGTGTCACATGGTCATCTCTACCCCACCGTAGCTGCTGTCTGGCCTGGAACAAGTGTTCTCCTCCCATAAGGTCCCAAACGAGACACAAGTTTTATTGCTCTGGGATTCTCCCAAACTTAACTGACTCTTTCTGACCCTGACCTGTTCAGGATTTTGACCACGTGAGAGGAGCCAAAACACGTGCCTGGCGCCTGTAGGCATTTGACATTGCAACTCCTGTGCCAACAAATGCATTCACTAACAGCTATTAAAAAAATAAAACAGACTTTTGAGATCAAAGAAATGAATGTATCCAAAATACATGTTTGTTCAACAGTCATTTTCAAACGTTTTGTTCTGGGAAGGAGATAAACTGAAAAGTTTAGAAAGCAAATGAATGGTAACTGACTTCAAAAACCTGAGAAACTTAAAACTCAAAGTAGCAATGGAGAAAACCATAAACCAACCCAATTTACTCTTTAGACTCTTAAAAGGCATGGCAATGGGCAGCACCTGGCATTTCTGAACCCGAGGATAAAGGTGCGACTACCATAAGGAGAGCTGAGTAGAAGCTGTTTCAGAAGCACTTATTCCCTTGAGCAGGGGTCCCCAAACCCCTGTGTGGCCTCAGACGGTCTGTGGCCTTTTAGCAACCAGGCCGCACAGCAGGAGGTGAGCAGCGGGCTAGCGAGCAAAGCTTCATCTGTATTTCCAGCCGCTCCCATTGCTCGCATTGCCACCTGAGCTCCACCTCCTGTCGGATCAGAGGCAGCACTAGATTCTCAGAGGAGCACGAACCCTGTCGTGAGCTGCGCATGCGAGGGATCTAAATTGTGCGCTCCTTATGAGAATCTAATGCCTGATGATCTGTCCCTGTCTCCATCACCTCTAGATGGGACCATCTAGTTGCAGGAAAACAAGCACAGGTTCCCACTCATTCTATATGATGGTGAGTTGTATAATTATTTCATTATATATTACAATGTAATCATAATAGAAATAAAATGCACAATAAACATAATGCAGTTGAATCATCCCCAAACCATCCCCTACTGCCCCCATCTGTGGAAAATTCTCTTCTGCGAAACTGGTCCCTGGTACCAAAAAGGTTGGGGACCTCTGCCCAACAGGCTCCCCCTGCTAGGTACTATCTGGAAAAGGTAAAATAGAGCATCTCCCAATTGGAAGATGGAAGCACAGTTGATGGTATGTGTACCATCCTGCAAAGAGGTAAATTAACAATGAAAGATTCGGCCGAGCACAGTGACTCATGCCTGTAATCCCAGCACTTTGGGAAGCCGAGGTGGGTGGATCACGAGGTCAGGAGTTCAAGACCAGCCTGGTCAAGATGGTGAAGCCCCATCTCTACTGAAAATACAAAAAAATTAGCGGGGCCTGGTGGCAGGCACCTGTAAGACCAGCTACTCGGGAGGCTGAGGCAGAGAATTGCTTGACACC